TCATCTGTCATGCATCCGCCAGGTGAGATCTTGCTGCCCAGATAGCAAAATTTGTCTACACCCTCCACTACTTCCCCGGCTAGAGTGAGCTTGGGGGCTGAGCCAACCCAATCTTTTTGCAACCTTTTACACTTTAAAGGTGATAACCGCATACCGAGCATGGCTACACAAGCACTCAAACTATCCAGAAAAAACTGGTAACTTAGATGAATTTTCTCTTAGCAGTACAAAGTTATCTGCATACTTCAGATCAGACGGTCTTCCATTTGGGAGCAAATGGATGCCACTATTCTCGCACAAGGATTGGGTTGTTTCCATAATCAAATCTATAAAGTTGAATAGAAAAGTCGAGAGAGAGGGGGGGGGGCAACCCTGTCGAACATCACTTTCTGTAGTGAAGTCGGGCGAAAAGGTGCCGCAAGCTCGGAATCGACTTCGGTTATTAGCACAAAGGGTTTCTAAAATTGAAATAACCTTATCGAGCACACTCTTCAGGGAAAGTCAGTACCAGAGTTTAGAGGGGTCGACGAAGTCGCAAGCCGCTTTCAGATCGATAAAGAGAGATATCGTGGGTCTACGAATGGATTTTTTGTGTTCTAAAACTTGACGAAGAGTGAAGGTGAGGTCGATACAACCTCTACCAGGTCTAAACCCAGACTGATTCTAACGCGTGCGTTCTTCACGTGCGGCAGACAATCGACGGAGTAAAATACCAGTGAGAATCTCAGAGACAATGTTGATTATAATAATTCCTCTTTAGTGTTCTACGAGGATCTGTTGCCTTTCTTGTAAGTAGGTAAGATGAACGATCCACACCATTTAGTTGAAACCTATTCCCGTTCCCATATTGAGCCCAGGAGTTTCGTCAACTCCAAGACCAACGCTGAGCCTGCATACTTAAACGCTGATGGGCCGGAGGCCTTATGCTGTTTGAGGGAAACCCCCAGTTCAGACAGAGGACTCAATGTCAACTGGCAGTTTCTACCCAGTAGAAGTGAGGGGTGATAGATCAGATGTCGATGGGGGCCAGTTTAACTGAGCCTCGAAACGCTTAGCCTCTCGACCAAGACGGCGTTGCTGATTGCGAATCAGTGTACCATCAGATTCCTCAATCTCTTCATCTAGGTCTACTTTACTGCACTCCGTATTCCTAATTAGACGGAAAAGAGTGCGACTATTGCCAATAGTCGCAGCTGTCTCCTCCTCGAGGTCATTCCTCAGACTTGAATAGCTAGCGTTTAAGGGACGTATATGCTGTGTCATATGTGACATCAGGAGGGAGAGTTCTTGGGGCGTCCAGCTGGGCAGCTTAGGTCGACCTGATTCAGCGTTTTTGCGTTGGTCCTGCCCCAGAATACGCCGTTGTTTTCATCGATATTTGCATAGCTTCTTTGATTTGCTTCCAGTGTTCATAGAGTCCTTCGGTTGGTGGTAAACTGACAGACGATCGGAGAGTTCCCCTTGTATGGCGAAATTGCAGCTATCGCTGACAATGTATCGTGGATATCCGTTTCGGCTGGTTTTATTTCGGTTGTTTGCCGCACGATGGGAGAATGGCGTTCATAACAAAGCGTAGTCGGTATCCCCAGGTGTTTAGCAGGGAAACCGGCGCTCGTGAATCGAATCCCTCCAGCGGTAACTGTTGGCGATTTGATTTTATTGCTGTGAAGAGGTTGGCAGTATCCAAGTAAAGTGGTGTCGTTTCTTGTGCGAGAAGCTGGACCTTGATAGGAACAGTTGGTGGAAGTAGGGGATCTGCATTGTCCGTCCGGTTGGCTGGGATTGCACGTGTATCGCTAAGAGATCTTTCTGATTCTTCCAAAGATCCCAAGTTGATCAAACACTTTGAATTGAATGAAAAAGATCTTGATAAAAATCATCTTTGATTTCAGATGAATTGCAATCGATTGGAGCAGGCACGGAAAAGACGAATAAGCATCGACGCTCATTTCTGTAGCCGTTGACCTGTACTGAACCGCTGAAACGTACACTGCATAGTCGGCTACTTGTTAATGTTTTTACTTACTTTTTTGATAGAAATGTACAAGGAATTTTCCGGAAGAGACGCGCAGCTATGCGAAGGTTGCCAGGGGAAATAAAGATAAGGGAAAGACGGGTGGCGGTAGCGGGGTTTAAACTCAGGTATCCCAGGTGGTTATGTGGACGACCTTACCACTTGACCGCCGCCACTGATTGAAATCCAGTCAAGAAGCGAGCGCCTATCCTTGGCACCTACAGCAATAACAACAACAGCAACCACACAAGCGTCAGGTGCCGAATCGCCTAACACACGAAAGGTGAAGCGTGAGGATGAGGTTGATTCAGGCAACTGCAGGAAGTGCGGTATTGTATGCATGTTTTGGAGACACAACATGCATCTAAATTGAATGTTTCAATGGTTCTAGCTAATGCAGTTTTTTGGCCGATCTGGTAGTGTGCGGACGTTGAACGCAGCTAAATGAAAAGGGAATTTTGGCTTCAGAAATATTGTAACTTCCAATTGTTTGGACTTACTGCTCAAAGGTTGCGATATCCGGTGGGTGGCGTTAACAGAAGTCATCTGGGATTAAACGGGATTGAGAGGAAGAACTAGGCAGGTTGGGAAGAGGGCTCTACTAATGGGCTCCTGAAAATTTAGGGCACAACATACTTTGCGGCAGCCCACACCAACTGAGGGGTTTTTGTTTGGAAACCCTGACCGAAGCTTTTGACTCAAAAGTCTGACCTGCAAGGCAGCGGGAATTTTTTTCTTGAGGAATCTTAGACGGAGCCTTCGACTCGAAACTCTAACCCACAAATCAGTAGGACGTAGATTCAACGCGGGAGAGTGACGGAAGCACTCGAGTGGGAGCTTCTAGAGACCTGTTATGAAAGGTCTTTGGGTTTTGGTTGAATGTATTGTTCGCTGGTGCGTTAATCGTCCGTCTACTGTTCGGGATCAGCCCTTGGTTTCATATACCCAATAAGACAGGCGGAATACGAACGGTACAACTTCTTATTGGTTGGGGGCTGCCCAGCTTGAGCGGGCGATAGCTGTCCAGAAAGTGCAAAGACTTCTCCCAACGTCGAGAAAAAACGCCAGGTACTCCGCTCCTAGCAGGATTTTTTGACTGGTAGGCTGCCCCCTCCCCCCCTCGTGTTAAGTAGTTGGAATGACCTTGCCAAGGGCGAGAGTGGGTAGACACAGGAAGCCCGGGGTGTCCAAGCAGCTATTTTTGTGTCAGTGAGTTTCGAGCGTGATTGACTGTGGAAAGCACAACCTTATGTAGCTCGCAGGGTCATGGAGACAAGCAGATCATCACAGCACATATGGGGTGCAGTCTCTTCCAGATGGAAAAATTAGCCCTAGTTTTCTCACCATGCTACGAGAACCTGGTATTATCAATGTTTGGGTTATTTTTGCATGTATGATGAGGAGCCATTCAGGCTTTCAAGCGTTGTGGCACGCTCTACGTGACAGAGTCACTACCTTGAATCGTAAACCGCACCAAACTCAGTAAATATGATGTCAATTTTGAAAGACTCGACACTCAATCAAGGGAAGAATAGGTTCTGAGGAAATTGGAATNGGAATGTACAGAATAAGCAACAAGAATAAAACACGAAAACCAGGGGCCAAAAAACCACTATCAGATAATTACTTGAGAAATTGGTGGCTAAGAGGTATTCAAAAGTTGTCTTGTGGTGAAACACATCTGACAACACTTTATGTAGACCCTCGAAGGTTGTAATTTAGCGTGCTGCTACCACTTTCACCGGCGACCGAGTTCTCGCATTTATTGCTTGAATGAGAAAGATCCAACCTCGGACATACATCATTCCTTGGGTTTCGCCCATTTACGGTCATTGCTACTGCAGTAGCTCATACCAACAGCTGTTCAGCTACCAAAACGAATTTCATTTTTAACCTCTCGTTCGCATTCTGTCACACATGTATGAACTTGTCGGGACGAAGGGTGGTTTGTTCGGGTTTATTAAATATCTTTTTAACTGCCAGTGAACTGAACTGATAAACATCATCTTCATCTGGTGATCTGCAGCTTCCATGACCTTGGGGATTAACACCATACGAAAAGCAATAAGCTCTCCACAAATAAACAGCAATATGATTCCAACACAAAATTATATGATCATAACTTACTACACCACTTAGTAGTTCCAACCGTTGCTCAGCCAGCTCAGCTAAGAGTGAGCGATGGGGCCTGGTTTCGGTCACTCGTGATGACGACATCTGATCCACGTTCTTGCTTTGCCGCGTGGTTAAAGATTTTATATCTTCCTGCAAGTTGGTTGCTTGAGCCTGTAGATTAGCAATTGCCGCATCTTGCGACTTGATCTGTTTATATGCAAACAAAGCAAAGACTGTACTCACCCTAGCTGTTTGTTCTGTCTCTTTCTGCTCCATGACGTTAATCTTCCTGTAAGAATCAGCTAAAGAAACGAACAGATTATCCCGCTCCTCTGTAATGGCTGCCAATTTGGACTCCAAATTAGCTTTTTCTTCACGCAGAGAAGTAATCTGTAAAAAGTGTGCTTATGTTTACCCTGATCTAATTGACGTACCTCAACCCTCAATGAATCCAGTGTATGAAAGTGATCTTGTATTGATGTTTTCCTCTGCGCGCATTGAGTTCTTATGGACTTTAGCTCCTCTTTAAGACGATTTTCGTTTTCTGAACTTTCTTGCAACTTCCTAGAGAGTTTCTGATTTTCTTGCGTCAAATCGCCAACAACCGCGGCTTTTTCCATCTCCAGTTGTTGATACATCTGTCTTTGTTTTCTGACATCTAATCGCATGGAGACGATGTCAGTTTGTAGTTCCTTTATTTGGTTGTCATAATCGTGCTCAACAGTATCCAGCCGCATCCGTAACATATTACGCTCGTTTTCAAGTTCCTAGGATAGGTGACTAAACTGGGAAAAGGTCAAAATACATACATATATCTTTTGTTGGAAAGACTCGAGGATTTCAGCATTTTCTCGACGCAAAACCTCATTGGCTTCGAGAAGAGACTGACCCAATTGGGCAGCAAATGCCAAATCATTCTGCCGGGCCTCTAATTCTGACATAACAGAATGTAAGACGGTTTCGTCACCTAAGACATTATTAATTTAAAGCTTTCACCAACCCGCAGCTTTCGTATCTATCATACCGTTCCGCTATTTTATTTTCAATATGGCAGAACTTAACCCGATTAGCTGATGTGAATTTACTAGTTTCTGCGCGGGACAAGGGTTTCAAACTACCCGCTAGTAGTTGTCTTGAAGTCTTGAAGTGACTCTGTAGTGCGCAATGGAAATCGGTTTGAAAATGCACGTTAATCCGCACGAGTCTGAAACGGGGAACACAATAGCTGCAGTTATAACCCGATATACGAATAAGGCAGCCAGCAAACACCACGTTCTCGTTCG